ATTATATGCCCACCTCTGGTATAAGTATAGAGGTTATGGCAATTAGACACATACTATACAAGATTTATTGAGGAATAAACTTTAGATTTTTTTTTTAATGTACAACTTGCATTTTTGAAAATTAAAAATTCCCAAACTTTGTTTGCCTCATTTCTGGTCATATTAAGCCCCCTTCTCCCTTGTCCAGAAGTCCATGAAAACCGACATGCTAACAGGATTTTGGTAAAATTTGAAGGTTGTCCGACAATGCAAGTAAGAACTAAGATGGAAGCAAATAGAGGAAACAGGAGCTTAAAATATAAATAACATACCACATCTTCTTCTTAATAATGTTAAAAACTCGTCTTGAAATTCTCTGTAAAAAATACCAATGATAGGTAAGATAATAAATAAAAAAATGGAAAAATGTTATGTCATCAATAGTTCTGATTGTCATAGCAAGCTATAAAAAGTCAGTCAATGAGCATGCAACATCTGGCCAAAACTGGAACTTGTCCAGCTAAATACCCTTTGGCTAGTCCTGTTTTACTGTTCACATGTTGATTAGTCAAATGTGGTTATAATTGAGCAGCTATAACATTTTAGTCAAATTCAACTAGTGGTCTATCATCAATGCTGCATTCTGATTGGATGAGCTGCTAGTAGGATATTAGCAATAGCCTATCAGTAGTGAAAAGTGCTGCCTTTGAAAGCCAAAAAATTGAATTTAACTTTAATGAGCAGATGAGTTACTAGTAGGCTATCATTATAATTTATAAATTCAACTAGTGGTGTTTTATCAATGCTGTATTCTGATTTGATGAGCTGCTAGTAGCAAAAAGTGTTGCCTTTGAAAGCCAAAGCAATTGAATTTAACTTTAATTCATGACTTGTTTGCATCTAAGTATTTGACCGACTAGTTGGATTTGACTAAAACAATTAGTCCTCTCACCCTCTTGGCCTATGAGTCAATAGCTCATTCATGCTTGAGGACTAATTGCTAATATAGCCATGGGCCCAGTTGTACGAAGGAGGGATAGTGCTATCTGAAGAATAAATCTTCATCCAGTGGATAAGTCGATGGTGTTATCCAATAAATTTATTCACTGGATAAGRTTTATTCATCACATAGTGCTGTCCGCCCTTTGGAAAGTTAGGAGGCATAATGGATGATGGATAACGGAAAAATTTGCTTTCTCCTAAGCAGATGAATACATCTTTATAAAGTTTGTAGAGTACTATGTTCTTTGAAGTCTTCCCTTGTAAAACCCAAGCAATTATTATTCCTCATACCCTCAAAAATGGCTGTCTTGAGTTTACTAACAAAACTGTTGTGATATTTATATGCCAACCATTTTTGCAAAAGCTTGTCACAAGTTGCTTTGTGTCACCAGCCAATATTGCTTTCTGGTTGGCACACGAATAACAAAGGCTTGTCACAAAAAGTATCRCACAAAACCTCTACAATTAATTATCACCACTCACTTTGAAAATGAATCAATAAACTTATTAGGATCATCAGCAAATAAAAGAAGCTGTCTCTGATGTGATTCTGATGATGTGTGACATTTGAATCCATTCTGTGTCAAAAATGAACAACTATGTTAGAAATGTCATGTTCAATTCATACAAAATAGACAACTTGCACTATTAGGTAACGTGACCCTACCTCCCTTACAATGAGCAGTTGTGGGAAACTGAAGTTTAGAAATAAAAAGAGCAGCTCAACATTATCAACAGGGCAAAGTTTCAGCTCATATTATTGACTATAGTATAAATGGCATAGAATATAAAATGATATATTTTATAAGGTTTTGTATGGGAAAATGTGCTGAATGGCAAAGCTTTTTCTCATCCAAATCGTTTTAAAATATTCCATTTTATATCTAAATGCCATTTTTCTTTTTTTGCTTGTTATGAGCTAAAACTCTGCCACCCAACTAATAGTGAGGTGCTCTTTTCATTTCTGTTGTTCATTCTAATGCAGCTGCTAGTCTTAAGGTAAGTATTATATTTCACACTCATCCATCTAATTTATAAAGAGAGAATATATTAAATGATAATAAACTGACCCCAGTAAATATGTGAATAGATTGTGTAACATCAAGCAATTTTTTTCTCAGAAAAATACCCGAGCTCCAGTAGGGAAAAAATTTTCAGGCGARAAAAAAAATTCTTGATGAAACACGATTCACATCTTTAACAACTTTCTAAGCTGCAGAAAACACCTTAAAACTCAATAAAGTTCAAGAAAGTCTCTAAAACTGCAAACCTCATCTCGGCATTGCTTCTGACACATCTGGCAAAACCAGCGCAGTTTCTGAAGTCCTTTCGCCTTGATTCGATTAGCAATCGCTTTAGGAGTCAAAGCACCTCCTTTATCCTTCCCCATATTGGAAAATCTTGTGTATTATGGCAATAAAAAGTTTAGAAAAACACAGAAAATAGAATCGATGTGTTGTTGAGACAGTCGTTTAAAGCAAAAACCGCCAGGCGTTCCGAGCTGCGAAAGTGCATTGTGGGTAATATAACACAGGACACCCAATGATTACAATCCTTTAGATGAGCCGTGCAGTGCGGAAACGTATTTGGAAAACTCGAAATTTTCGTCGTTCACTCTGTTTAAGTTGTGCATCATTTGCACGTTGTTTAGCGGAAAAGAAAGAGAAGAAATGTAAGATTGCAAATGGACCAACAAATCGAAAGGAAAAAAAGAAATGAAAGGATTTTTTCGAAAGGAAATAAAAACGAAAGGAAAGGAAAGGAAATAAAAAGGAAAGGAAAGGAAAGGAAAGGAATTTTATTTATTTATTTAGGACGGTTACTTATTGTTTAGCA